AAACTTGTTTGGAAAAAAATAAATAAAAAAAACAAAAAGACAAAACACAACAACAAAATACCAGTTTGGTTAAAACAGTCATAAAAAGGTAGCTGAAGGATATTAATGGAGGAACTTACAATCTGGGATAAAGGTCTGGAATAGAGAAAATCTAGCAAAGAAGCTTTGGGAAGGAAAGTGGTGTGAAGTGCTAGTTCAGAAAGAAGCCACAAAAATAGGATCAAGGGAACTGTGCTTTTTGTCCACCTCCACGATTCCCTCCTGGCTTCACCCACTGCCCCATGATGCCTGGTCCACAGGGTATATCATTTTAACCAATCTTCTGTCAACACCCTCAAAATGACCTTTCTACATCTGTAGTCACTGAAATGATCTCAGTCTTGGTTTTCTGTTTATAAAATAGAATTGGTTCAGTCAGTAGAACATAGGAATCTTGATCTCAAGGTCATGAGTTTAAGCCAAGCCCCACATTAAGGCATAGAGCTTACAGGAAGGAAGTGAGGAAGGAAGGAAAGAAGGAAAGAAGGAAGGAAGGAAGGAAGGAAGGAAGGAAGGAAGGAAGGAAGGAAGGGAGGGTAAGGAAAGGAGGAAGGAAGACACTCTTAAATGTCTATGTCCACACCAATGCATTTATCTACATCTGCACTTACTCTCACCTTCTTTCATCTTAGTCTTTTAGTTAATTGAATCTCTCTCTCCTTTAAGACACTAGCTTTTCAGTTAGCCTTTCTCTCCTCTACATATAACCTGTATTTTAATTGCTCTACAATTAGTTCTCATCTTTAAAAACAAAATCCTTGACTATGAGACCTAGCTACTATCTTCTATACAGCATCATTTTCCTCAAAAGACTGTTTAAAATTCTATTTCTCAGAGAAATAGAATATAGTTATATAAAGAATCAAAGGTATCTGAGGTTAAGGATAATCAGTAAAACAAAACTCACAAATTTATTAAAAAGTTTAATTTTTGGGGCGCCTGGGTGGCGCAGTCGGTTAAGCGTCCAAC